ATTAAGCTTTCAATAAGATTTCCAAGCACAGTTTTTTTAGAAATGCTTTTGAATCTTGGTGCAATCCTTTTACTTTATTTGCTTTATAAGAGATAGAACCCCCAGTGGCAGAATCGTTGTGACACGACGACATTGTCGCAGAGAGTTCTTGCAGAATTCGGTTATATTTTGGGCAGTTACTGATATTGATTTTTCCGTGTTTTTTTAAATATCCCTATATATTTCAAACAATATGGAAAATTCGAATTGTGCATTTGAGTATTAACTTTTTAAAGCAATAATTCTATCGAATTTTTGTCAGTTATTGCTGTGGATTTTTCCACAGTTTTTAAATCCAATATTTTTGATACAATATTATTTACAACAACCTAATCTAAAAACGAAACATGCAATTGATTAGTCCGATTTGCATCACGCAAATCGGACTAATCGATCGCGTCCCGTGACTTCGCCGTTGATCTTTTTTCCAACAATTACTACAATAAATTTCATGATTTTTAATTATTTTTTTTTANATTTGAAAGAACCCTGCAAATTTCAACCTCTACTTAAACCTGTTATGGTATTTATTACTCGCACCTTCCTTTGTGTAGTTTCTCAGATTTGATAGTAAAAAATTATTTTATGTTCAATTAAAAGAAAATTATGCATATTTTTTCTTATTTTTTCCTTTTGTAAATGCAGCGCTTTTGTTATTTTAAATTAGTAAGATATATGTTTGTTAATTATTAAAAGTATCTTGCGGAAAGACATTAGTGGTGGAGAGTTTTGTCATAGGGAGAATGATCTTATCTTGCATATTTTTATTGGTGTACGCATTTTATCTATTATAGATACATACATTCAGTTATTGCATAATATTACTTTTTATATCAGTATACTTTAAGTATTTTCACAAATATGTACATTTCTTACATATATGAATTTGTGTACAACAGTCATATTAAAAAATTTTTAATGTTTTGGCAAAATCTTAGATTTGAGGTGATTTTTTGTAATCAAAATTTTGACAAAATAAATCAAGGAAAAAGTTGATACAATATTAAATGTGTTTTAAAGTGAAACTTAAGAAATGTTGATGAAAGTTTTTTTCTTATTTTATGGATTTTCCTTTTCTTGGATTTCCTTTTTTTTATGGATATCTTATGTTGAAATATGTTTTTTTTTCTTTTCGATTTGCAATTTATTATGAAAATATGATATTTAATGAAGCAATTTTTTACAATGTGTTTAAGAATTTTGATAATGTTGTAACTGTTGACTTTTGTGTTCTTATTAGCACTAAATTAGTTTTTGATTGTTG